CACGCACACACGCACGCACGCACGCACGCACACACGCACACACGCACACACGCCCACACGCCCACACGCCCACGCGCGCGCACGCGCACACGCGCACACGCGCAAACGCTTACACGCTTACACGCGCACGCGCGCGCGCACGCTTACACGCGCACGCGCGCACACGCGCGCACGCGCACACGCGCGCACGCGCACGCGCGCGCGCACACGCGCACACGCGCAAACGCTTACACGCGCACGCGCGCACACACACGCACGCGCGCACACACGCACACACACACACACACGCACACACGCACACACGCACACACGCACACACGCACACACACACACGCACACACACACACACGCACACACGCACACACGCACACGCGCACACACGCACACGCGCACACGCGCACACACGCACACACGCACACACGCACACACGCACGCACGACGCACGCACACACGCACACACGCACACATACACCACACACACAGACACATATCCCCGTCCATCTCCAAAGCAAGTAGGGGTAAACATGGGATTTTTTCGGAAGACGGAAGTCCAGAACATTTTGGGAAGCATCGGGGATTTTGGGATTTGCGCCCATTCAGTTGAGTGTCCCTGGGCCCCTTTCAGGTATGCCAAGCTGAGAGCCATCGTGCGTGGATGTCTGTGCCGTCGCGTGTATCTTGAGCATGCGCGCGCGCAGCTGCAGTCGCATGTGCAGGCGTGCCTCTGCGTGAGTGCGCGTGCGGGCGGACCTCCGTGCGTGCACGTGGCTCTGCCAGGGCGGCAGGAGAGCCGATGCGAGCACAAAAGCGGCTGCGCAGGCTTCACCCCGTGGATCCAAGCAGAGGACACCGGCACCTTGTTCTCCGCGAGACTCGACGCGCGAGCCCGTACCCTGGAGCCCGAGAAGTCCGAGGGTCGAGGAGGCTACGCCGCCGTCGTTTGGGCAGTGCTTATCCGCAGGGTCCACCCCGCAGCGCACACCTTCCGCTACGCCCAGGGCTGCCTCGCGGATGACGTCCTTATTTTTCGGATTTGCGTCGCCCTTCTCGGCGCGAGGAAAGGCCGCTCCGCGGGGCATCCCGTCGCAGATGCGGGCGCGCAGCCCGGCCCACAAGGGCAGCAAGGAGACGGTGCAGCCGCCGCGGCCCCAGGACCCGGACGGCGAGTCCATCCAGATATGAGCCGCACTTGCAGCAGGGCTTTCGTGCCTGCGTTCTCACCCGCTGGCTGTTTTCACCCGAGGGGCAATTGACAATGTGTTCAACGGCACGAATACACATTTTTGAAGCTCCGAGCGGATTTCTCGGATCGGCGCTGGGCGCCTCTTGCGCCGCCGCTTGCGCTCCACGCGCCAGGGCGGGTAGGGGGGTCCAGCGCAGATCCGAGAACTCTGCTCGGAGCTCCGACATTGTGCGTGGATGCAGTTATTTCTTTACCGTCGCCTGCGCATTTGCCGACCCGGCTGTCTGTCTGGTTCCTCTTCCTTCCCTCAGAGCGTGAATTACCTACCCCGCTTTCGCTTCCAGGCAAAACCAAGCCATACCACGCGCATCCCCGTCAAGCTGCTTGACCGGTACAGGCTGCAATTTGGCATCGTTTGGTATCTCTTGGAAGCGAGGGTGGTCAAAAGTGAGGTAGGTTTGTTTTCCCCCTATTCCCGTCTCCTCCTGATTCGTTTGCACACCCCAGGACCTCGAGGGTGGGGCGCGGCATCCCCGTTCGCGCGAGACTCTCTTCGAGATCTGGCTTCCCACGGACGCGCACGCCCCCTGCGTAAGCAGGAGGGCGTGCCGCGAAGCCTTGCGCTCTGCCGCGGTGCCAGGGCACACGTCGGTGAACGGGGGCCTGGCGCCCTTTCCGTCGGGAGTTGTCTCTGAGGGGCTTGCTTTCCACCACCACCATAGGTTGGATGGGGGAAGGAGGTGGAGGACGAGGAGGAGGAGGAGGACGAGGAGGAGGAGGAGGAGGAGGAGGAGGAGGAGGCGGAGGAGGAGGAGGAGGAGGAGGAGGAGGAGGAGGAGGAGGAGGAGTCCTCCAACTTATGGTGGTTGTGGTGAAAAGCAGGACCATCAGTCTTGTAGTCGTCTTTGTTTTTGGCCAGAGCGCGCGGCTGCCTTGGACGCGCTGGTTATCCCCAGACACTCGGACCACCTTGCACGCGAGGGGCACTGGCCCGAATTCGGGGGGGGCGCCAGCCATGCACCGACACCGGTCCTTCTGAACAGGATGAGGAGGAGGGGGAGGAGTAGGAGGAGGAGGAGGGGGAGGAGGAGGAGGGGGGGGAGGGGAGGGGGAGGAGGAGGAGGAGGAGGAAGACGAGGAGGGGCAGGAGGAGCAGGGGAAGCCGGGCGGGCCTGGCCGAGGTCGCTCTGCGTGCGTGGTCGGCGCCCTCCCGTGCACGGATCGGCGGCGCGCCCAGGGGAGAGAGGGCTCGGGCGATCGCAAACATGGATTTGGCGTCCGCGCGCCAGATCCATGGATCGCTAATCTTAAGTCGGAGGGCAGCTCCCCCGATCCATAGATTTGGGGAGGGCAACTCCCCCGATCCATAGATTTGGCGACCGCGCGCCAAACCCATGGATCGCTAGTCCATGTCTGCGCGCCCCCGAGATACGGAAGACCTTACGAGAGAATAGTTGGGAGACGTCACGGTCGACGCATACGGGATGTCAGATTTCGGCGGCGAGCGAGGGGGGGAATTGAGAAGGAGGAGGCCTTCTCAGAAGGCGGCGGGACTTCTCAGAAGCCCTCACGCCTTCCGAGAAGCTCTTTCCGTCTTCGGGGAAGGCTTAGAGAACTTCTCAGAAGTTCCGGGGGGCTTCCGAACCTTCTGAGAAGGCACGCACTTCCCCTCCTGGCTCGCCGCCTATAATCTTAAGTCGGGCCTGTCCTCCTACATGGGGGAGTATCCAAAACTAGTCAAAAGATAGCCTTGGGACTTCTTGTGGGGGTATGTTTGGGCATCTTCTGAATATTTGTTGAGGATTTTTTTTCCGTCCAAAAATCCCCCTGCAGGGGGACACGCCCGACTTGACGCCAGTCCACGTGTGCGCGCCCCTGGGGCGGGAGGCGAGGGGGGGCACGCCGTCTCGGAAGGCGGCGGGGCTTCTCGGAGGCGGAGCTCCTCGGAAGGCCCGAGGCCTTCCGAGCCCTCGGAGAAGGTCCGCCCCCTCGGTGCCCTCTCCCGTGGGTCAAGTCGGGCCCGTCCCTCTACAGGAGGAGTGTTCAAGAATAGTCAGAACATAGTCTGGGGACGATCTTGTGTTTGGTATTGTTCTGACCACTGTTGAGTATGTTCTTTTCAGTGTTTTTGATTTGTCGGCCAGAGGCCCCCTGCAGGAGGACATGCCCGACCGAACCCTTGGGCTCGCCGCCGGGCGGAGTGGCGCAGCTTGCGCACGTCTCACCCCAGGCACCCGCTCGCGCGTGCCCGTGGCTGCGAGGACGGTATCGGGTGCGCCAGCCCTGTGAGCCAGTTCTTTGTGCGCTCGTGCAGCGGGACTTTCCAGCTGCCCGCGGTGGACCCGCCGACGCGCCAGGACGGTATCAAAGTCCATTCAGGGTTCGAGGCTGCGCAGGGGGGGGCGTCCAAAAACTCGCTGTGCAGATGATATCAAACACCATGTGCAGACAGCTATCGGCCGCGACAAGTGGGCACAAATGGCAAAATCACCTGTTTGGGATACGTTGCACGAAGACTGCATCAACAAGTGAGTGGGCTCAGGCCCCCCTGGCCGCTCTTTCGCGAAGCCATGCGCCGTCGTCCGCCCGTCCGTCCGTCCGTGGGGTCAGGGAGCAAACCCAGCCAGCTTGAGGCCAGAATTTCTCCAGGGGCCGCGCAGAACGATTTTCCTTGAACCCCACCGCTGGCCCTGCCCCACCCTTACGCCCCCCCACAGGGTGGTCCTAATTACCGAGATTCCTGAACAGGCCCAAAAATCATCCAGGAAGTTTCTACGGAGTTTCGCGGCGGCAGTGCTGCATGATCGTTGCGCTAAATCTTTGGGGTCTTCTTAGGGGCTTTGTCGGGGCCCCTCGGGGGCCTCTCGGGGGCCCCTTGGGGCAGGAGGGATGGAGGGCGGAGGCCGGGGAAGGAGGGGAGGGATGAGCGGAGGTAGGCGGGGAGGAAGGAGGACGGAGGGAGGAGACTGGAGGGAGCGAGGGCGGGAGGAGGGACGAGGAGGGGGAGCGGAGGGCGGGTGACGGAAGGCACGGGGCCGCTCCTCGCCGCATTTCTCGACCGCGGGGCTGGGATGGCGCGCCGCAGCTGTCGATGTGATCACCCCACTGGCTGGGAAGATGATGAGGAGGCACGTTTCTGGCTCCAGCGCGGGATCTTTCTCTCTCTCTCTCTCTCCCTCTCTTCGCGGGCGGCCAGAGGGGGGGGATGATGACTAGGGGGGGGGTGGAGATCATGGCGGGGGCCACGATGCCTACCTGAATTTCGTGGCGCCTCTTCTTATTTCAATTCGTCCCCGGACGCCCCTTGGGCCGCGCACGTGCCGCCGACCGTGCTTTGCGCACCCCCCTCTTGGACGCCCCCCTCTTGGACGCCCCCGATCTCTCTCTCTCTCTCAGATAGTTGACTCTGCAGTTGCCACTTCTCACTCCAGCACCGCGCCGAAGGGTGCAGTGTCGGGTCTGATCGGGCGCCTTCTAGAAACGGCTTGTTGATTTGCTTGTTCTCAGAGAGTACGCATCCAGGCTGAGGTTAACACACGAGCTCGCTGATTTTCTGAGTTGCGCGATCGAGCCGCCTGCCTGCGACCTTCCTTCGTATCCACGCTGGGAGAGACGTCGACCGCGCGACTGCTCCGAAAATGGCCCGCACCTGCGCCTGCCACTTGCTTTAAGTCGGGCCTGTCCCCCTACAGGGGGATTTTCAACGAAAAATCAAAGATACCCCCAAAATAGTCAAAACATAACACAAAAATAGTTTGTGGAGTATTTTTTGGTACTTTTTTAGCTTTTTGGGGCATTTTTCGGGTATTTTTTTGGTTCGTCGAAAATTCCCCTGTAGGGGGACACGCCCGACATAACACCTGCTCTCGTGGTAGCTCGAGCTCGCCGCCCTCCTGCGGCTCCCCCGCGGCGCCCGCACGTGGGCGCGCCGCCCGGGAAGCGGCCTCCTGAAAAGGCTCCGGGGGGGGAGAAGCCACACAGACTCACAGTGAATCGTCGACTCCCAGGGGAGATGTGGGAACACATTGGAAAATGTGTGAAAATATAGGAAAACATGGGAAGATGTGGGAACATGTGAGAAGGTTCAGGGGGGGAAGATGTGGGAAAACATGGGAAGCGGGGGGGGGGGAAGACAGAAGCCCAGAACATATGGGACAATATATATATATATATATATAGATATAGATATAAAGATATATGGGGAATCCTGTCATTTGTGTCTGTTAATGTGTGTGTGTGTGTGTCCCTGGGCCCCTTTAAAGATGCAAGGGGCCTTCTCAGCAAGCCCTGAGGGCCCTTCTAAGAGAGGCCTCCGCCTGCAAGGGCCAGCGGCGAGAGAGGGCGGGACGTGAGCACGAGGAGACCTTCTCGGAGGGCGGCGGGGCTTCTCAGAAGCCCTCCCAGCCTGCTGAAGAAGTTCTCGGTGTGCTCGGGGGAGGCTCAGAACACCTCTCAGGAGGTCCGAGGCCTCCCGAGCCTCCTGAGAAGGCCCGCCCCCTTCTCACTCCCCCCCTGGGATCGCCGCCGAGAGAACCCCACCCGCCTCCTTCTGCCGCCCCCGCCGCGCCACCCCCGTGTGCGCACCGCCAAGCTTTGTCGCATCCTCCACAGACAGGGCATGCCCCTCTACAGGAAGAGTACTCAAGAACAGTGGAAAAGAGTCGGGTGACGATCTTTCATGCTCCGTTCACTATGTTTGAAGATTCTTTGACTATTTTTTCGACTCTTCGTTCAAAATCCGCCTGAGGGAGGACATGCCCGATCTAAGACAAAACATGGCAGCCGTCGAAGACGGGGCGCCGTGCGCCCTCGAGTGAAAGAGACAGAGAGAGAGAGAGAGTCTCGACAGGAGGAGGAGGGGGGAAGACGAAGGCTTTCTAGAAGGCGCGGGCCTTTCCTCTCTCTCTCTCTCTCTCTCTTTTTTTGTTTTTCTTCTCTCTCTCTATACATATATCTGTAGGGCCGGCGCCTTCGAAGAAGCGGCCTCCTCCTAAGACGC